TCACACCCGCAGTTAGCAGGCACAGAGAAGTGAATGCTGGTGTCCACTCACTCACCTTTCTTTTCTCAGCCCAGGACCTCACCTCATGTAATAGTTCTGCTCACATTCAGGATGGGTCTTCCCTCTTCTGTTAAAACTCTCTGGAAACATCCTCACAGATATAGCCAGAGGGTCTTTCTCTAGGTGATACTAAGGCCCATCAAGCTGACAATGAGGCTTAACCATAATATTCCAAATGCACGTGCTGACCTCTTGACACCCGGTGTCTCAAAGCATGACACTGTTTGGAGATGGGGTATTTAAAGGGGTGAGTAAGGACTGGGGATATAGCTCAACGGGTGTTTGCTGGGCAAGCTTGGGGACATGAGTTTGGACCCCTAGCATACATGACAGTAAACTAGGGAGGGTGGGCAGGTCAGAGACAGGAGGACACTGGGGGCTTGCTGCCACATTTAGCCACATCCATAACTCAGGGTCGATGAGAAAACTTGTCTCAAAAAAATAAGGTGAAGAGCCACAGAGGTGGATACTCAACATCAACCTCTGACTTCCACAGAAGCACGCACATACATGTGCACATACCAGCACACAGGCATGTGTGCCCCAACACACACACACACACACACACACACACACACACACACACACACACACGATGTAGTGGGTAGCCATTCCAGCTTGGATCTGGAAGTTCCAACCCCCATTGAGACTCTGGCAACTGTCACGCCTACGAGGCGGGGCGAGGGGAGGTGCTGGAAACCCGAGAGCTGGATGGGCGAGCGCTCTCTCTGGGCGCGCGCTCTGCGCCTGGACCCTGGACAGTGGAGATTGACTGTGCAGAGCTCCAGAGAACACCGCTGGATTGCGATACAGCTTCCCCAGACCCCCGCCACCTATCCATTCCTTCATTTGTAAGTCATCCACTAAATAAATCTTCCTTTTAACTACGTGGAGTGGCCTTTATAATTTTCTCCAATAACACACGATGAGTAAGTTTAAATGGGGTTATTAGAGTGACCCTAATCCAATCTATCTGGCTTTCTTACTAGGGAAGCAGACTAGGGTGCACAGCAAGACACCAGGGACGGGCAGAGAGGAAAATTTATGTGAAGACACAGCAAGGAGGCACAAGCCTAGGAAAGAAGCCTCCAGAGAAACCAGCCTGTCAGTACTTGTACATTAGACTCCAGCCTCCAGAGATAAGGAATACATTCTGTTGTTTAACCCCAGTCTGTGTATATTGTCACGGCAGCTCCAACTAACGGAGACATGTGCATGCAACGCTGACTTTCTAATATGGGTGATGTGCTTGCACCGGAGTGTCTGTGTGCGAAAACTGTAAAGCAGTTCTGTTCTTTGAAGACACTGCTTTGCTGGCCCTCTTTACAGTGGGTGGATTATCCTTCAGCATATGCCTCCAATCAAGGACCACCCTTTGCCCACCAAAGACAAGCCTGATTCAAAGAGGCTCAGAAGCCAAGCTTCAGAGCTGCTCAGACGCTGCTGATGTCTGAGTTCATTGCAGCACGGCCTTCCCCATGCTCTGGCCAAGAAGTGCAAATAAGGAAAACACATGTGTGTCTTCACTGTCAGTCAGGATTAAGAGATTAAGTACTGTATGTGCCTTGCCCAATGTGTCACTGACTACATGCCTTAGTTTATCCAACAGAGAAATGCCATGTCTACACTGCAGAGCTCACAGGATTTTATTCTTTCCCTTTTTCTGAAACAAGGTTTCATATCATCTAGGTTGCCTTTGAGTTTATTATGTAGCTGACTGTGACCTTGAACTGCTGACCCTCCACCTCCATCTCCCAAGTGTGGAATTACAGCTGTGTACCACCACAGCCAAGAAATGTCCTTATGTGTGTAAAGGCCTTTGGTGGACAGTTAACACACAACGGCAGTCATCATCCTAGTTTCTCAGCAACAGACTTCTCATCACTAACGTGTTCAGGAAGAGAAAACTCACGGGGGCCAGCTTTGCCTTTCTGAGCTGTCATGGGTATGCAGTGCGGTGAGCAGGGATTGTAGACGTCAATCTGACATTTCTCCAGTACACATTAGCTTTTTTCAGTCTTCCCAAAATCAAACTTATTTTAGAGAGATCCTCTGACAAAATGCAAATACCTTTGAAGACAGCAATAGGTAATCTATCTCTTAAGTTGAACACCTACGTGAACAAAATGATCTGTAACACACCAGGGACCAGTCAGAGTGGGAATGCAGAGGGAAGAAGATCACAAACAGGCTGGAAGCTGCGCCTTCTTGCTTGTGATTTTGCCAACTGATACTTACACTTACAGGGATTTAGTCCAATGTTTTCTGCCACACTGTCATTCTGTTCACACACACACACTACAGAGTTGAATTTACAGCAAACCCTTTAAGACTCCACTACCTAGCCGGGCGGTGGTGGCGCACGCCTTTAATCCCAGCACTCGGGAGGCAGAGCCAGGAGGATCTCTGTGAGTTCGAGGCCAGCCTGGGCTACCAAGCGAGCTCCAGGAAAAGGCGCAAAGCTACACAGAGAAACCCTGTCTCGAAAAAACCAAAAAAAAAAAAAAAAGACTCCACTACCTAAATGCACCCACCAAATTGCAGAGATGTGTGCAGTTCTTGACTGTTCTGAAGCGCTGTTTTCATAAAGACTTGGACTTGATGCTTATTTTCCATGGCGATATGACAGAGAAGAAAACTAACTCCATGTCTCCCTTCCACCCTTGGATTAAACCCGGAGATCAATGAGCCATTGTTTGATCAATCCTTCCTGGATAATGTTCACACCATAATATTAAATTAGAAAAATAAGACATCTAATTTCCCCACCTATAAAAGTTATATGGTCCTTTTGTTCATGTTCAATTTGCATCAGCTCATTGAGTCACAAGTGTGCCGCTTCCAAGAGAATCATAATGTGTCATTATTACAGAGCACCTCAACCTAAAGGAAGGTGCTCTGCCTAAGAGGACTCTCAGACCACTAGTTTCCAAGCTGAGAGATGGTATTGTGTTATTCAGATTCAGCTATCCTCTCATTTAAACAAATATCCACCTTCCTGTTTAAGTACATGGTCCACGCTGTCTTTGGGGATAAGTTCCCCGTGCTTATACCTGTTTTGGCAAGTGTTATTTTCATCGGTCCTAAAGATTACCTATTTTATAAATGGAATCCTTCCAGGTACAGTTCATTCCATCTGAGCACATAAGGGCAGACTGGGCTCTGTTCCAAGGGTCTCTGGTCCTGTGGACTAGCCCCTCCCACTTGGGACTATGACATGCTCAGGAGTCTGTTAACTCGTCCTTCCGGTGAGCCCTAAAGTTTCTCTGGCCTCCGTTAAGGGATGTCCATACCCAGTCTTCATGTTCCCTAGTCTAACAGAGTCCACATAGTTCCTGCCAGCAGAGAGTCTACCCAAAAGTGTGCAGGACTCAACTCAGATTCTCAACCTGGTTCCAGCTGATTTGGGGAAGGTTTGGAAGGATGTTAGGGCCCCATGTGGTTGCTCTCTTGACAAGATTGGGAGTGGACAGAGTCCCTTAAGGGAGAATGGGGAACCATTAGTGACCGATGCTGACAAGAGGCTTCAGGAACTAGGTCCATGGGCCAGCAAGAGGCGCAGTGAGTAGAGGCCCTGGCCACCAAGCCTGAAGAACTGGGTTTGATCCCTAGGACACCCATGGTAGGAAAGAACTGATTCATACAAGCTGTCCTCTGACCTCCACATGTGTGTAGTTGTACCCTCACACACACCATGTACACACACAAAAATAATGTAAAACGGTATATTTTAAATGAGCTACGTCCATTCTAGCTAACCACCAGTCCTGAAATTTTAGAGCCCAGCTTTCCTGAGGCCTCACACTTCATGGCTATTCTAGTATAATTTAACTTCGTTCATCAGCATCCCAATATTCTGACCACTGTCACTTGTAGTGACAAACAGTTATGAGCAACTTACATCTGTGGGCATGGGAAGTTCTGCCGGAATTACGCTCCACTTTATTATACTGGCCTTAGAGGTCTGTTCAAATGATTCAGGGGCCCTACAAAGAGTGGAAAGGCCCCCATCACTTTGGTGATGCATGTGTGCTGCAAACATTGCTTCTGCAACATCCCCACCAAGTGGCTGTCCAGCTCCTGCTTCCCATCCACAGGAAGGAACTTCATGATCCAAGGCAAACATAACTTCAGGTGACTTCATGGAGTGCATTTCTACTGGGCATGGACTTCCTGTCTACATCTTCCCAGGGATCCTCAAGGCTCTCCAATGCCAAGCAGCACAGTCTAAAACCAGGGCAGATGAGGAGTTCATGCTCATGAGCAAGAACCCCTTGGATCAAAACATTTATGAGCAGTGAATGACACTGGGCTTGCACAAGCTGGGCAAGAGCTCCACCCTGGCTACCATTCTGTCTTCTTTAGCTTTGAATTTGATCAGGTTGGCACTTGTCCCTGACTCCAACCTGTTCAGACATGAACCTATTCCTGACATTCAAATAGTTCTTACGAGCAAACCTGACCAGTGTCCTTAACCTAGTAACTGATAACAATTCAAACTAGCCACAGAGGAGCCACATCTTCTAGTAGAAAAGTCCTCAAAGACTAATGCATGACCTCACAGAAACTGGTCAAAACACTTGTAAGACACTCTGAGGTCACACGACCTGGCATCAGCTAATGCTTACCACATTAAAGGGGAAGATGGTAAGTTATAAATGACTGCTGTTTGATCCTTTACAAACCCATCAGGAACGTATCTAGAAAACTGTGGGATATCTCCAGGGTACAAAAGACTCCACATCTACTCACAACATATGCCTGGTAAGGAACAGTGGTGGCCCCTCTCACTGTGTGTCCAGAATATAACAGCAGTAGCTAGAGCAGGAGGTGAGAGCAAGAGATAGACAGCAAGGTCTGTGCTTCCACCAAAACTGCCCACCCACCCACCTGGAAATCGCTCTTCAAGGGAGAATCAGACCTGGAAAGCAAAAGACAGCCACAGTGAACAAATGATTTAATGCCTACACCTTCCATGGGCTCCTCAAACAAACAACACTTCCATTTCTTCAGAGGAGTTCACACACACTGAAATTCGCTGTTTCTGCCTTCTACAGGAGACATTTCGGAGGCCAGGAGCCAGGCGTGTCTTCTCATCATGAACCAGCAGAGCTGGAACAGACATCATGCATGTGATGAGCGAGTGACAGAATGCCCCTTTGACAATGCCCCATTGTCTCCAGTCGGTTCTTGCTTTTATCAGCCATCTCTTAGAATTAAATCCCTACTAGGACAGCTCGGGACTTGGGTCCCAGGCATAGGAGCGGAGCTCGTTCTTTTCTCTGGAAGAGCAGATGAGCTGAGCGGCCGTACACCATTCAACATTCATTTTTCAGTCCACGAAGCCTGTCTACTCACAATCCAAGGCTTTCCCTGACTTGTCTTCCATCTAAATCAGTCAAGTCTCTTCTCAGGAGAAATGTTCCACAAGTGGCTGTTCTCATAAAATAAGAGAAGTGGCTGGCAGAAATAATCTGTAACTTCCCTGCATAAGCTTCCCTCGGTGTCTAAACATAAACACCATTGACTGGCCAAAAACACCGTGTTCAGTGTGTCACTGTCCTGGTGGCAGACACCAAGGCCTCCTGCTAACAACAGCAACTCAGTCAGATTCCAAAGCTCAGTCACTCACTGTTAAGCCCTTCCTAACTTCTCCCTGGGCCAAGGAACTTCTCTAAATGCCTCATCAAATCTAAGATACTACTCATGATAATGCAACTGACAGGAAACATACAATACTGCTAATTAAAGCCAAGTGCAATTTGTCACAATTTCCCCAATTTTAAACCATGTGCATGTCACATAGTCTGCTTACATACAGTTGTACATGTACATATACATTATTCAATCGGTAAAGTACAGTGGGCCACCAACATTAGGGCAAAATATTCCTTATAAATATTATCTTTTAGAAAATCAATTTAGCTACAAGCTACAGAAAGGAGATAAATCTCACTCATGGACAAAACCATAGGAAACTGTAGGCATTTGCATGAGTGCCCCTTCCTCTTCATGCGGCGTTCAACTACGCTGTTTCGAGATGACAGCCTTCCAGTCCATAAACATGACTCAGTTGTTTATATCTTTGAGCACCCTAGTGTATGAGACAGCAGTAAACCCATTCAAAATATTCCACTGAGCAAATTGTACTGGGAAGGTAGAGGAGGAAGGATCAGAGGTTCAAGTCATCCTCAGCTACACAGAAAATTCAAGGCCAACCTAGGCTACATCAAACTGCCTTTAAACCTAAATGTTTTTCTGAGCTCTATTCATTTTCTCCAAAAGGTGAGGACAGCAATGGTGACTTCTCACTCCATGCCAAGGAAAGTGAAGGTCTACTGGATGACACACTGGACGCTCATGGTCAGGACCTCTTTTCCCGTCCTCTGAAAGTGCTCATGTCGTACGCCCACACGGTGTCGATCCCCTCTCCAGTAGTGTGGTCTGGAGTCCAGTGTGGGAAAGGGAACCGGCAGGCAATAACTCTAGCATCATCCTCAAGTTCAAGCTCAAGTTTCTTCTCCAGCTGTGACATCTGTGGAGAACAACAGCCATCAGGTTGCCTGAATAGTAACAAAGGAGACAACTTCAAAATGCCTTTCTGCACTTCAAAGTCCCTGGAAATATTTACAAACACATCACTTGTGGCACAAAAGTTATCGAGCAATCTATCAACACAAGAAGACACATGAACACCAGTTACAGGGACATCTTCTAGTACCAATTCTAAAGTAACCTATCTTAGCAGATATGTATAATAAATCCTTGGTTTTCTGACAAAAATCATGATACGGCAATAATTAAAATACTAATTATTTTAAATGATTTATCTACTAAAGTACTTCAACACAGCATGTATTTCATGCATTTAAGACAATTTTTTCTATACTTTTAACATCTCTGAATTGGGACACATCAAACAACTGACATTATCCTAGAATTATAATCGCTGTTATTTTTTTTCTCTATAATAACAGTATACTGTAGCATCAACATTTAGAGTCGGTGAAATATTGTCTAATTAGACCATGAAAAAGCACATATTCTACCATTTAGAAATAATTTTAAGCCGGGCAGTGGTGGAGCATACCTTTAATCGTAGCACTGAGGAGGCAGAGGCAGGAGGATCTCAGTGAGTTCGAGGCCAGCCTGGTCTACAAAGCAGTTCCGGGACAGGCAGGGCTACACAGAGAAACCCTGTCTCAAAAAACCAAAAGAAGAAAAAAAAGGAAGAAAGAAAGAAAGAATTTTAAATGTATGTATAATGTACTAATGATGCATATCCCCCTTAGGGGTGGTGTTTAGTTCTACGAAGTACAGCCAGGACCTGACACACTACGCACCCCTCTCCCACTCAGCTACACCTGCAGCCACAACTTTAGTGAGTTTCTAAACAATATAGATATTATGTCAATCTCATATGATTTTATTACCCAACCTACCAATAGTGGTTTTAGTATTTGCTGAAAGTATTGACATTTTAATTACATCAACAAACAACTATTTAAAATTATCTGCAGTTTGTAAAAATGTATGAATACCCTCATGTTTAAAAATATGCTTCACTTTCTACTTTTAACTGATTTTGAGATGGTGTCAATTTGTAGACACGCTGCCAGAACTGAACATAGGACCCATGCGCAGTCCACCCTGGCTGAGCTCTGGCGCATGCGCAGTCCACCTAGCCAAGTTCCAGCGCTGCCTCGTTGCTCCTTACAGCCCTCCTCCCCCACGAACTGACTCTAAACTTTTGAGAAGAGGCTGCATACAACACTCCTGTTTCTTACACACCCCACATGAGGCTCACACCAGGAATCTTTTTCTCCCAGTAGTGTCCTGTACCGCCCAGGAAGCAGCTCCATGCTTAGCCGTATGGTTCCTCTGGTCTCCCAGTTTGGTTTGTTGTTGTTGTTGTTTGTTTTGTTTTGTGGTACTAGGGGATGATCAGCCTTGTGCATTCTGACCCAGGGCTCTACCCCACTCCTGTCTCTTCTGACCTGGGAGAGTCCTATCTTTCTAGTCTTTCATGACAACAGACCAATGACCCTCAGGTTCCTCTGCTATTTGCTCCCGATGGCTCAGTGGGTCTCTGGCAATGGCCCTGCTGTAAGCCTGTCACCTTATCAGAGCTCCAGGGGCCCAGAAGGCCCTCCTGCTCCCGATGGTGCCATCAACCACTGTTCGGGTGAATCTGGCATCTCTGTAATGTATTTACTGCCTTCCCTTTATCCTTAGCGACCCGCTGGAAGAAACTGTAAGCACCTTTACTCACAGACTGTCTCTGCCCTAGAAGTAGCAAATATTAAGGATTCTGACTGCAATCAATTTTTACTATAAAGGCTGCAAAGTAGCAACAGGCTGATCCATCTGTCCTCTAGATCAGCACTTCTCAACCTGTGAGCCAAGATCCCTTTGGGATCAAACAACCCTTCCACAGGGATCCCCCAAGACCATCAGAAAACACATATATTTACACTATGATTCATAACAGTAACAAAATTACAGTTATGAAGTGTGGCGGTCCGGGTAGGTGTCAATACAGACCATGATCTGCAAAGAGAGAAGAATGATTGACTTCATCAACTTGGACCAGAGTTTGGGGAACCTAATACCAGGTGGTTCATTGTTAGCACAATTAAAACACAGTACAATTTGAGAAAAGTTTCCAGGCAACAATCAGTCCAATTAGTCCAATCAGGTGCACAATAAAGCTTAAAAGTATCTTATGACTACATGGAGACTCTTTACAAAGTACATGTGACCATGAGGGTGCATTCTAAAGCTAAAACAAAGAATCTAGTGGGATCTCTGACCAACAGCATGGAGGTCAGCAGGCCATAAAGTACTTGTGACCTCCCCCTCAGGGATGTGCTGGGGATGTCTTTCTGTATGCTGTGAATGTGTTGCTCTGATTGATACATAAAATGCTGATTGGCCAGTAGCCAGGCAGGAAGTATAGTATAGGCAGGGTAAGCAGAAAGGAGAATGCTGGGAAGTGAAAGGCTGAGTCAGGAGACACTGCCAGCTGCCACCGCCATGAGAAGTAAGATGTAAAGATATCAGTAAACCACGAGCCACGTGGCAAGGTATAGATTTATAGAAATAGGTTAACTTAAGATGTAAGATCTAGCTAGCAAGAAACCCGCCACAACTATACTGTTTATAAGTAAGATAAGTCTCTATGTGTTTACTTGGGTCTGAGTGGCTGCAGGAACCAGGTGGACTACAGAAAACTCCAGCTACAGGGATGGGTAATGGTCTAGGGAGGGAAGAATCTGGAATAACCATTCTGGGGAACTAGGGTGAGGTCTGCCTCCACAAATAGTAAAACAGTCACCAGGTTGTTAACAAAATCTACTCTGAGCTTTCTGGATAGAATGCAAGTATTTGATTGTTATCTCCTCCATTGAGGAGACACCCCTACATCATTAACATTCCTGGTTCTTTCAGTGCGTCTCTGTGAGTACAAGGACCTCTGTGCTTGTGCCCCCCAACAATGAAATAGCAACAAAAATAATTTTATGGGGGGGGGTTGTAAATATACATCTCCATATTCTAATTTCATTATGCTAATGTTCAAACTGTCCTAATTTGGCCATGGAGCACCTCCTGCATCTGGCTGCTCCATTCTTGGACATACTCCCATTAAATATTTTGAGTACTTCCTCATGTTTGGGCTAACAACATGTTCCAAGCTTTTGTACCCTCCCTCCTGTAACCCTAGATCAGCTACTCTCAAGGATTCCTAGTTCCCTGTAGTGAAAAATGATACTTAGAAATGAAGATCTAAGCAAAAACTACTCCCTCTAAAAGTTAACTACAGCCAGACAGAGAAATCAGCAGGGCTCTTGTGAAGGTTTTATTCTTGACCAGCATCTTACAAAAATGACTTGGGAAAAAAAAAAAACAAGATACAGATGGAATAAGCCAAAATTCTAACGCATCATTAGAATTGATAATGGAGAAAAAAATTCCATTAAGGAGAAAAGATTTCTATTCTTCTAACGGCCAGCAAAGAACTAAAAAAAGAAAGAAGAAAAAATTATTCCTTGAGGGAAAAATTAAATAAGCAAAAAATGAGACAACATGCATTTTTCAAAATATCAGGTTTCTTATGGTAATTTTGTTCATAAAAAGATAATTGTAAATGTATTCACATTCCTATTCTTTCTCTTTTATAGTTTCTTTTATTTCAGAGTGGCTGTCATATGCTAAGTCAAGATAAACCTAAAAATGAAAGAAGCTATTTCAATCATAAGAAATTAACTGACTAAATTACACATAAATATGCATCAAATCTGTCCTGATATCACACACGGAGAGAAGTAGTGATGTGTCATGCCTGTCTAATAGAATTCAAAATTATTCATATAATTATGGATTTCACAGTGACACAAACTCATCAGATTCTAATCATATCTTCAAAATGTGAAGCACGCCTTGAATCCGCTACAGGCATACGGCAGACCTATGGCTGACGGTGCTGACCCGAGACCTGGCGGCCTCCTTCTTCCTCCACCTGGCTCCAAGGGTGAAGACGTCCTTACCAAGATCTCCTGAAGCCTTGGCTGTTATGCCCCACTCCCCAGACAAAGCTCAGGCCTTGGGCAGGTCCTCCCTGAGATCTGCCTGCCTCCTGGACTGGCCCATGGTTGTGCACACTCAGGCATGTGCACCTGAGCTCCAGACTCTCCCTCACCCAAGACTATCATGTGACTCCAGACTCCCCCTTACCTAACACCGCCAGTGTGACTTCAGGAGCCCACACAGAGCTGCTACAGATGGCTCTGCCTGTACCTCTCACAGCTCAGCTCCTGGTGACCCAAATATCAGGAGCAAAAGACAAGAAGTAGCCGGCCTGAACTCCTCTGTCTCTCACCAATGCTGGAGATGTCCACTACTTCTACTTAGTTTCTCTTTGCAGTGCAGCTGGAATTGGATGTCTTCTCACCAGCTAACCCACCCCAGAACGAGCCTTAGTCTGTCACCTCGACACCCAAAAGAGCACGTAAGTGTCTCCCAATTTCTAATGTCCTGGGTCTGACCTCCATGCAGTGGTGGTGATCTTCTTCTGTCCTATCCAGTCTCCCTGCCCCTGCTTACCCTCAACAGATCCTCCCCTTAGAAGGACCAGCATCCTTCATGTGCTGGTCCTATTCTCTGGCTCACCTCAAATTCACATCACCCTCTTCACCTGCATTTGCTCACTGCCTTCCAGCCAACAGGCCCTCACACCACTCAGCACTGTGCAACTGTAGGTCCTTAGCATGAATGACCGTTCGTGGATAGTACCCTTCCAGGGATCCTGACCTGCTCCTTCCCTGTTCTCGATGACCCCACAGAACATATTCTCCTCTAGTATATGGCATCTATGTAGATGCCTCGTTTAACATATAATCTTCCCACTAGTGAGAGGTACTGTGGGAACATGGTCCAAGAGTGGAGCAGTGTGAGAAGTTGGAGTGCTTTTACGAGAACACTACAAGAAAACAATACAAGGGTCTTCTGACCTCAGTTTCTCTAAAACACAGACTTATCCTCAGATTGTTCTCATGTTCTTCCCAGGTGTAGTTGCTAGGAGTGAGTTTACTTCAGCTTACTCATTATTGCTTGCTGTTGTTATGGAATTAAATGTTTAAACTATCCTTTATACGACTCTAGGGAAAACATGTCTTGGCCACATGTGGCTTGTCCTCTTGATTGTATACAGCTTGTGCTCATGAGAACTTTACTCCTGTGACCTTTCTTAACCCTTGCAGTATAAACTGTCTGAGGCTCTGAATAAAGTTAGCGATTGCGTGAGACGTTAGTCTGCCTCATTCACTGGCTCCATCCTCGCAGATCCCACCACCTCTAGACTGTGTAAGGTACCTCAGGGTGTACATGTTTTGTTACCCACTTTCGCAGTCAAGTGGTCAGGAGACCCTGTCTCCTGTGCAGCAGCCACACTTACTACACGAACAAAGCCTGCAGGCATAGAAGCGCACAGTGTATGATGTTCACTGAATTCAACAGAGTGGAAGGTAAGGGGCACTTCACGGGACCACTGAGGACAGCTTCATGGAGGAAAGGGTAGGCGTTCCCTCACCAACCCCTGTGCAGAGTGGGTCTGAGGTCACCAAGAATGGCCGGTACAGGCTCTGAGGAGCAGCACAGCCAAGGCCAGGGACTGACCAGATGAAGAACTGTGCAGAGAACTCATTAAAAAATGACTAAGCAAGGTCACAAGTGGGCAGGAGCCACCCCATGCCAATCTGAGTCCCGTGGCATGTTTGGACCTTTTCCCTAAGTTGGCAAGAGGTCACAGAGGGTTTAGGGTTTCGTGTTTTGGCTTTGGGGGGGGGGGTGTTTGTGAGACAAGGTCTCAGGTAATCCAGGCTGACCTCAAACAGGCTATGTAGCCAAGGATGGTCTTGAACTCCTGATACTGTGCCTCTGCCTCCCAAGTGCTGGGACTACAGGCGTGCACCAGAATAGCTGGTTTATGTGGTGCTGGGGACTGAACCCTGGGCTTCACGCATGATAGACAAACACCACCTGAGCTACATCTCCAGCCTCACAGAGGGTTTTAAACAAAGCCCCAGTTAACCTACTCCACATTTTGAAAAGAGCCTCTTGGTGCATAAATTCAGGCTAAATATAAAAATGTACAACCTTCGTAGTGTGTTCACCAGGTCCAAATGGGACTCCTCAGCGTACTCTGATACATACTTCATTCTGAATTGTCAGCTCCAATTTCCACCTCCAACTGCACTGTGCCTTCAGGAATAATCCAGTTGGTATTAAGAGGGCTGAGGCATTACAATGTCAGCTCTCCTCCTCCACACTTCCCTAAGGCTCCTCCTGGCTCCACAAGTGCCCATCAGTGCCTCAGCTGTCCTTAGACACTTGCCTTGACATGCTCATTTTGGAGGGCTGGCTGATCCATGCTCAAGAGAATGAGATGCAATTCAACAGCACCCTTACATAGCCAGGTAAACTCAACAGCACCCTTACACAGCCAGGTAAATTCAACATCACCCTTACACAGCCAGGTAAATTCAACATCATCCTTACACAGCCAGGTAAATCCAACAGCACCCTTACACAGCCAGGTAAATTCAACAGCACCCTAACACAGCCAGGTAAATTCAACAGCACCCTTACACAGTCAGGTAAATTCAACATCATCCTTACACAGTCAGGTAAATTCAACAGCACCCTAACACAGCCAGGTAACACTTTCCCAGGGCCACACAACTATGAGAGGGCAAAGCTGATCTCCAACTTCCCAGCCAGCATTTTCTCCTACCCCTGGCTACTTCCTCTTGACCAAAGTCTGACATGGGCTGCAAGTGGGGATCCCACATGTGACACTCCAGTTCAACAGATGCCAAATGGGCTCCTCCCGCCCACTGTGTGCAGAGCCCTGGCTGGCTGAGTCTTTTTTAAGGGGTATGAATGCCCTTTGGATTCCCACTGTTCCTCTTTTTCCCTAGAAACAAGGAACAGTAAAATGCTGAAATTCCTTGGTTAAGATTCATCTGTGTACAGGAGAAGAAGCAATAATTGCATGTATTTTTCAAAATAACAAAACTCACACTGCCCCTGAGGAAACAGCCCCCAACACTGTGCAAACCAACCCTGTCTCAGGCAGCAGGGCAGCCTCCACTCAGCATTACAAAGGCCACTGCTGCCCCCAGCTGGGACACGGCAGCAGGGCTTCAGAACAAACCCACATCTCAGCTTAACTTCCTCTCTCCAGGCAACATAGGATTCCCAGTAAATCTGCTTTTCTACTTTCAACATTCAAGTTACTTGTCTCCAATATACTAATTATTACATCTTAGAAGGCAGAAGCCAAACATCTTAAGTAGTAAGCCACCATCAAAATTCCCTATCTAGTCTATGATCCCAAATTATTTTTATTTGTGAGGTGAGGGGAGTTGAAACAGGGCCTTACTCTGTAACCTAGGCTGGCCTCAAATTTACAATAACCCTCCTCCCTCGGTCTCCGGAGTGCTGGGGTTATGCTGGGATTGCAGGCATGAGCCGAGGCCTGACCCAAGCAAGTTTTCAATGATCAAGGACCAAGCCCCCTCATCTGCCTTCACTTTTAGACAAAGCAGTTACTCACAGGTCCCATGGCAAAAACACGGATACAGTCACTTTGGTAATACCATCATTTCTGGTTTGTAAAAAGCAAAAAATGTGCCATCGTTCTGGAGGTTCCAATGTGAGGATCAATTTCTCAAGCAGTTAAACACTGTGTGTAAAAGTCCAAGCATAGCTGGGCATGGCAGCACATCCCCATAACCTCCACACTTGGGAACCGGAGGCTGCAAGTTGAAAGCCAGCCTGAGCTACATAACAGTTTCCAGGCCAGCCAGGGCTACACAGTGATATGATACTTAAGCTCAAAAAACAACAAAATCTAAGGCATAAATAAGAAAATGAAACAACAAAAATGAAATTTCCTTTTTATTTTAAATTAAAAACCCTATCCGTTATATTGTGCCATTTCAGCAAACATCCAATTCTACCAAGATTATTATGGCTACAATTACAGACTTTGAGAAGTAAAAAGGAATTGATTTCTCTGGTCTCTAAACCAGCAATGACAGTGAAGCATCCTACCCTGACTATCTCTGCAAAGGCTAGAGACACCATTTTCAGTACAATAGTGTGGCATTTTCACTTTCCAAGTACATAATCAAAGTTCAATACTCAGCTCTTTGGCAAATCTGTGAATTGGAGGAAATTGAAACCAGTCAATGCTCATCCACCCTTAAAATTATCTTCCAGCAAAACTAAAGAATGATCAATTCAAAGGGAACATCCCATTAACTTCCCCAAGTGATTGCAGTGGGGTGTGAGTGAACAGCCATGAAAATCATCAGCTATACTCAACGCTGGGACCTCATAAAGCAGTTTTCAAACTGGGATTGTTAAGGCTTTAGAGGATCATTGAGATTTTTTTTTCTCTGAAACTAAAACTTTAAAATGTGTCTGAATCTTTAATGATTAAACTTTTAAGGTCCTTAGTATTTTACTAAACCAATGAACTGAAATCCAGTGTTTCCCTCAAGTCACTGGGAAACCGTCACTGCATGTGTGAGAGGTGATGAACTGCATGCAGCTGATAGGCCGGCGACGTTACGCACCCCAGAAAACGGGGCTGCATACTCACCATCTGGGGCACACCAAAAATGACAACATTGGAGTACTGTGCGAAGGTGACCTAAACAGGATGGAGAAAGAATGGTGGGTTAATTCTAAGCAGACAAGCATCACAATAAACCTGCCTCACTGGAGCCCACATGGCCAGGCAGCAAGTTTTCACACACTCCCCCAAAGAAGAGCCTCCTTAAGAGGCCCAGCAAAGGCCGGGCGTTGGTGGCGCATGCCTTTAATCCCAGCACTTGGGAGGCAGAGCCAGGCGGATCTCTGTGAGTTCGAGGCCAGCCTGGGCTACCAAGTGAGCTCCGGGAAAGGCGCAAAGCTACACAGAGAAACCCTGTCTCGAAAAACCAAAAAAAAAAAAAGAGGCCCAGCAAAAAGAACACATTGCCCACCCTTTGATGCACACCAGTCAAATGCACCAGCTTTCGGGATGCATCCTGGGCCTCATCTCCCCATCCTCACAGGGACTCCATCGAGACAGAACTGTGTCCTGCTGCCAGTCAAATCTCCTAAAGCCACCTGTTTCAGGCTGCGGCATCTTCAGACTTCTAATCTTCTCCTCTTCCCTAAAACACTGCGTTGAAAGTTCAATAAAATGGTTTTTTGCAGCAGTTGAAAAATGGGGTAAAAGTGCTTTGCCAGTCAAAATTCTTATTGCCCAATAAAACCGTATTTGCTCTATGGAGACCGTTTAGTTATATACAGCCTGAAAACAACGCAAGCAAAATCTAAGTGCGTTTTTATAAGCTGCTGAGGACAGTGTTACAGTGGGAAATTCTTACTTAAGACAAAGCACTCCGTGAAGCTTCCTAACACAAAACGCAGGGTTTTGTTGTTTGGGTTTTTTATTTTTTATTGTTTTTACACCAATAATGCAGACATTGAGATCAAGAGTTAATAAATGGGACCTCATAAAACTGAAAAGCTTCTGTAAGGCAAAGGACACCGTCAACAGGACAAAAAGGCAGCCCACAGAATGGGAAAAGATTTTCACCAATCCCACATCTGACAGAGGGCCGATCTCCAAAATATATAAAGAACTCAAGAAACTAGACACTAACAAACTAAATAATCCAATTAAAAAACAGGGTACAGATCAAAACAGAGAGTCCTCAACAGAGAAAACTCAAATGGGCAAGAAACAAAGAAATGGTCAACGTCCTCAGCCATCAGAGAATGCAATCAAGACCACTCTGAGACTCCGTCTCACACCTGTCAGAATGGCTGAGATCAAAAGCACAAGTGACAGCTCATGCTGGCAAGGATGTGAGGCAAGGGGAACTCTCCTCCACTGCTGGTGAGAATGCAAACTTGTTCAGCCACTTTGGAAATCAATATGGCAGTGTTGTTGGTTGGTCTCTGGCCTTTTGGGGGCCTGCCACCCAGCTCCCAAATAAATACACAGAGCATTTCCTAATTATGAATGCCTGGCCTTAGCTTGGCTTGTTTCTTGCCAGCTTTCCTTAACTTACACCATCCCATCTACCTTTTGCCTCTGGGCTTTTCCCCTTCTCTTACTTCTGTAAATCTTACTCTTACTCCCTGGCTTGCTGGGTAGCTGGGTAGCTGGCCCCTGGAGTCCTCCTCCTTTTCTGGTTCCTAGATCTCTCCTCCCAGATTTCTCCTTCTATATATTCTCTCTGCCTGCCAGCCCCACCTATCCTATCTCCTGCCTAGCTATTGGCTGTTCAGTTCTTTATTAGACCATCAGGTGTTTTAGACAGGCACAGTAACACAGCTCCACAGAGTTAAACAAATGCAACATAAACAAAAGTAACACACCTTACAGTAGTATTCCCCAACATGGCAGTTCCTTAGAAAATTGGGAATTGATCTACCTAAAGACCCGGCTATACCATTCCTGGGCATATACCCAAAGGAAGCTTCATCCTATCACAAGGACACATGCTCAACTATGTTCGTATAAGCTTTATTCATAATAGTCAGAAACTGAAAATAACCTAGATGTCCCTCAACTGAAGAATGGATAAAGAAAATGTGGTACATTTACACACTGGAGTATTACTCAGCTGTTAAAAACAATGACATCATGAAATTTGCAAGCAAATGGATAGAACTTGAAAAAAATCATCCTGAGTGAGGTGACCCAGACCCAGAAAGACAAACCTAGTCTACTCTCACTCACAAGTAGATGTCAGCTGAAAGTAAAGGATAATCGTGCACAGACCCATTTCAGGGGCGATGCAGATGCCTAGTACAAGGGACATTACAAGAGTAACCCTAGCAACAATTCCTAGTGATGGAGGATAAGGAGCATCTTCTGTAACCAGGCAAGGCCTCGAGTGGAGGGACTGGACACCAACCCAGCCACAAACCTACAGCTCGTCCTGCCTGCAGAGCATTCTGGGACTGGTGCCCAGCAGAATCCTCATCAGAGAGACCAGAGAGACTTGATCCAGCAGCTGATGGGAACAGACACAGAGTCCCACAGCCAAACATTATGCAGAGCTCGAGGAGTCCTGCAGAGGAGGGGGAGGAAGGACAGGAGGAACCAGAGGTAACAGGGACACCACGAGAACACAGCCCACAGAATCAATTGGCTAGGACTCATGGGAGCTAGCAGACATCAGGAAGCCTGTAGGGGTCTGACCTAGGTCCTCTGTACATATGTATAGCTGAGTGGCTTGGTGTTCTTGTGAGATTCCTAACAGTGGGAATGCGGGTGACAGACTCTTTTGTCTACTTATGGGACCCTTCTCCTCCTGCTGGGTTGCCTGTCTTGATGTGATAGTATGTGCCCGGTCTTACAGTAGAGCATAATATGCCATGTTTGGTTGATGTCCAGGGAGGCCTGCTCTTTTCTGAGGGGAGATGGAAGGAGGGAGGATCTGAGAGACAGGGAGGGTGGGGTGAAAGGCTGAGAGAGAAGGAGGGGAAACTGCAGTCGGGATGAAATACGAGAGAATAAAAATAGAAGAATAGAGAGTCCAAATATATTAGAAAATCCTTCCTTCTATGATTATGAGAAGGAGCCACCATAGCAGGTTCATAGACTTCCTTCTATCATCCGTCTTTGTCTCTCTCTTAACACGCAAGCACACACACAGAAAAGCCAAATGTTTATCAAGAATAATCTGATTTCTAAGTGAAATGAAATAGCTCATTATTTCACAAAAGACAAGAAAATGCTTTAATTTAATCACTAAATTCTTAGCTTTCATATGACTTTTATCAAAACTTGAAGCTTCTATACTAAAGTACAGGCTAGTATAAATCTATGAGGTTAAAATGCATTTGCACTTTGTTGTCCCAAATATTCATTTGGACTTTCTTTTTCTTTCAACGATCTTCCTCGTCAGCCACACTCATTATGAATGAAGAAGCCCCATTAGCTTTTCTAGCACCGTCCTCCACATCACGTACCTTCCACAGATCTGAAATATAAAACCTGGCAGAGCCATGCACACCCTCTCTCCAGGCACGGTATCGGGAGTACCAAACCAGCCACGGGTTCAGTTCGTAGCCCACCGCTGGAAATCCTTCCTTTGCAGCCGCAATCACCTAGACAGAAGCAGGGGGTTAGCAAAAGAAAAATGTCATCTTGCATGAGAGTTCCCTATTTCGAGTTTGTAATATTCCATTAAAAGGTACTTCTTGAGAGCTACTGGGAAAGAGGAAGGGACCAGGGAGAGGGGAAATATGGTAGTTTTAGTGACAATGGCCCCCGTAGGCTCTTATAGGAGTGAAACTGTTTGGGAAGGATTGGTAAGAGTGGCCTTGCCGGTGGTGGTGGTGCACACCAGCACTTGGGAGGCACATCTTTGAGTTTGAGGCCAGCCTCATCTACAGAGAGGGTTCCAAGACAGCCAGGGCTACACAGAGAAACCCTGTCTCAAAAAAAAAAAAAAACAGTGGCTTTAGTTAAGGAGCTACGTCACTGGGAGTGGGCCTTTGAAGCATGCCATCCCCAGCTAGCTTTCTGTCTGCCTTTTGCATATAGATCAGATGTGAGCTCTCAGCTGTTGTTCCGGCACCCTGCCTGCTGCCATGACCCCCAGCATGATGGTGATGGACTCCAACCCTCTGTAAGTCCAAAACACTCTTTCTTCTCCAAGCTGCCTTGGTCATGGTGTCTTCTCACAGCAATAGGAAAGTAACTAAAGCAGGAGCTAAGAGATGGTAAGTGGAATGGGCAGGATCAACGTGCACTAAGTACATGGACAAAATTTCACAATGAAACCCATTACTTTGTATAATTAATACAGGCTTAAAAAATACTTTTGATGAAGATCTCACGTAAAAATGTTACATCTACAGTTCTATAGTTGATGGACCACACATGACTAACCCAAAGATTTCTGCATTTTGTCAAAGATTTTGCCTTGACTATCAAGAGATACTCAGGCTTGTTTTGGACAAATGCATCCCTGGTTCTGGCTTAGCTCACAAGCCCCATCCCTAGCCAGATGAGAGCACTCAGTGGTGGGCAGTGACGACAAGTAACAATGGGAATCACTTCATGTCACAGAACTGAAAATCATTAAGATGCTAAGTATTATGGTTCATAATAATTTGCCGGTCAGGTGGTGGTGATGCACACCTTTAATCCTAGCACTCAGGAGGCAGAGCCAGGTGGATCTCTGAGTTCGAGGCCAGCCTGGTCTACAGAACGAGATCTAGGACAGGCACCAAAACTAGACAGAGAAACCCTGTCTCGAAAAAAACAAAACAAAAAACTGCCACAGCACAAGAAATGCTTTTAAGCTTAGGTAGAAAGCCTGAGTCACCTTCCAGTGTCCCCATCATGATTTCAGGTCTCCCCCACAAAGCCAGCGTCCACAGGACCAGCGAACACGGTGCGGTCCTGCTGGTCGGCACAGCACGCGCTGACAGAACACGAGCTTGCCCTGCTGTCTCCACATCATCAGGGCGAGGCCCACGGATGCGGCCCCCTCCTCACGCAGGCTCACTCGCCTGCCAGTCAGTGGCCTTTTCTTTACTCAGAGATTCAGGCTGGTTCACAACATGGTAAAGTCACTGAAATTCTGATTTTTTTTTTTTTTTGGACAGGGCCTCATACAGCTCCGATTCTGTATCTAGTAGAGGCTGATCCTCCTGCCTCCACCTCCCAAGTCCTGGGATGTCAGCACATGTAACTGTGCCCACCCTGAATTCCTATCTTTACTCAAGCAGGGCTTCCCCAATGGCCTTTCTTATTTTAACTTTCTATCAGCTCCTAGAAATCGTCACTTACCCATGTATCAATACAGAGAAGCATAAAGTACACAAAAGTCAAGGTAATTTAGCTCCACAGCTCCATGTTTCTTGTAATCATGCCACATTTACTGAATCAAAAATTCTAATAGACTATTTGGTAATTAGCAATTAATTGCTCCTTTCTATCTGGCATGTTTACAGAGTACTTTTCCTCCAGGAGGAAAAAAAAATCAATCAGAGAAAAATGAACTCTAAACACATGCTGGTGGTCTGAGAGTTTTAGCCAAACACAAAGTGAAACACACACTTTCCTAACTGTCACATTTGGCACGACTTTGCAGAAGCCTCATAAGAAACATAAAGCAGCAATTCTAACAATTCAACTGTTTGGACATGACTCACAATGCGCCCATCGCCACTGCCGATGTCCACCAGGGGTCCTCTCCTGTGCTGCAACATCTTCACCACGTTTTCGATCTGCCTCGAAGTGGCAGGCACGAACGGCAAACAAACTCTCCGGAGGGCTGGTGTGACAAACGGTGTAACCACGGCATACAGTGTCACCAACGCCCCACCAATGAGCCCGGGAAACAAGAGCCCCCAATCGCTCTTCTTCAGACGGTTGGGGTCCAAACTGGGAGGCAGAACAGGTCCCGGCTGCCCTTCTTCCTCAGGTGTTTCTAGGCATGCGCCATTGTTGAATGAGAGCAGAAACACACACACAGTGCACATCAGAAAACTGACAACTCTTCTGACACGCGCACACACACACACACACACACACACACAGGCCAGCAGAGGTGTCTGATCCCGGAAGCTGCAGTTATAGGTGGTTGTGGCTGCCTGACATGGGTGATGGGAACCAAGCTTGGGTCCTCTGCAAGAGCAGCAAATGCTCTAAACACCGGCAGCCTCTCCAGCCCAGCTCATCTTTTTAAAGGATATGTTCACTGGATACAACCTAATTTACAAGTATAAAATTCTATAGTGACTTCTAAACGTCACCAACAAAATTAAAGTGATTTTGGGAAAATTCTTCAATACTAATGAAAGATCTAAAATCTTTTCTTTCCAATGTACTGGTTTAGTATGTGTCTAGGACTCAAGTAATGTGTTATCTCAATACCCATTATTGCAAGTTTTAATCATAAACTTCACATTTTTACAATCTGAACAAAGGAAGCTTCAAGAAAAAACAAGCATGAAAATGTCCAGTTATTGACCATCTGAAATGGGCTGAATGCATTATAGCATCTATAATCTAGTTGTATAGCTATAATTTTGAGGCAACCAGAGATGAAAATCAGATTTTGTTTAAGTCTTTAATAAATATGGTAATAAAAAAGTTTAAAACACATGGGGGGTCATTGCATTATTCTTAGCACAGAAGAAAGCAAACAAACTCTAATCTATGACTGCGGAGAAGTGCAAGTCCCCTTAATGTTCCTCCTTTTGCATTCACCCTTTAAAATGCGTCCTTAGTAAGATGAAAACTGAGGGAGGGGAAGTTGATTAATGACAAGCCAATCCCGGCTAAGAGCCAGACAAGGTGCCAGCTCTGTCACAGTATTAACACCGTGACCTCACAGTCCTCCTGATGAACTCCACCTCCATAAACCATGGGCCCCCAACTGCTGGACTCTGGAAAGGCGATCACAAGGCTCAGGCACACAGCAAGCAGAGGCACCCAGTGTCAACTATTTCACATTACTGGAACACTGTGGGACACCACCCCACCACCCCAGCCCCACGCCAGCAAACAGACCACTTCTGTGGGTAAGACTGGAAACACACGAATCCACAGGAAGCAGGAAAAGGTCTGCATATGACAGCATGGCTGCTCATAGCTGTCAGGAAGCCATTCTAAAGGGCTGCAGTGCTTACTTCAAGCTGCTGTAAGGAGTGAGCACAGCCTTACTGGCTTACACCACCTTTCTCACCATCCGCTGGAGGTCAGGAGTCTGCAGTGGGCTGGCAAGGCTGCATTCCCCCTAAGGCCTTTAGACCGGGGATCAATCCCTTTGCATTTTCCAGCTTTGATTTTAACCCCACAGCACTCCAATCCCTGCTTCCATCCCGATATCTCCTTTCTCCCATTCCTGTCCTCCTTTTTGACAACAGTGTGCACACCTAGTTAGTCCAAGATAATCTCTGGTCTTCAATCCCATTTGCACAAGCTACATCAGTCAGAATGCAGATACACTGGGGGGGGGGGGACATTCTGCACACTACACCTATCAGTGGGGACAAGCTATTCTACTGAGTTACAACTCTGAACACAGCACACAACAGAGCTGCCATACAGCACTAGGTCACAGTCCAGGGCAGCTCTCGACACCGCTTCCTCGGCTCAGCATAACTTCACTCTCCTCTCCTTTGCTGCCGACACCCCTTAAAGTGAGTTTTGAAGCTGCTTTTGTAGTAGACAGCCAACATGGAAGTAAGCCTGCTGCTGGGCAGTGATCGTGGGGGGCGGGCGGGGAGTCTGCTGCCGATGCTGTGGTCGTGTATAAAGTCACCCCTAGGTGTTATGGTAACAGGAACCTTCAGTGATTTCAGTCACCGTTGGACACTGTGGAGGAATATGCTATCGTCGTCGCATGTTTGCTCATCCGGGAGACGTCGAGGCTCACTGACTGCCTTCATGGAGAGCCTTCCTACTGGCGTCCCCATGGAGCACAGCACAGGCTGTAAACACATCTAAGATTCAGTCCTGGTGTCTCAGAACCTAAGCTAGCTGTTTAACATCTGATACTAAGCTGCTGCTGCTGCTGCTGCTGCACGATGGCTTGCTAATCTGGAGAATTTTCATTTTTTTCCTTCCACACAACTCAAAACTTAAGAGTTTAGTAACACTACTATCCTGATTACCACATTTAAATGAACGTGTATAAGGTATAAACCGAAAGACTGTAACAACGGTTAACTGCCACCCTTGAAGACCACCATTGGGAGGAATGGAGGCGCCACTGTTTTCCTTTTTGAGACAGTCTTGCTATGCTGGCCTTGAACATGCATCGATTGTCTTGCCTCAGCCTCCCAAGTTGTAGGATTACAGGCATCCACCACCACACTCAGCTTAGAAACCCAGCTTTTTAGGCTTTCCTGGGACAGGATTAACACACCTTGTCCAGTAAATGTGTACAATTCCCTGGGCTCTAGGGGGTGCATGCGGTCCTCCTCATCAGTCAGTTTCAGAACATGAGTGTCCACGAGCCCCTTAACCCTTTAGTGTCAGTGGGGGCACTACAGGAGATGGCTCAGTGGGGAGCACTGCAGGGAGATGATGGCTCAGTGGGGAGCACTGCAGGGAGATGGCTCAGTGGGGAGCGCTGGTGTTCAAACCTGAGCTCAGATCCCAGCACCCACGCAAAAGCCAGGCCCCACCACAGCACTGGAAGGGGGAGACAGGTAGATCCCAGGGACTGGCTCGCCAGCCAGCCCAGCCAAAACAGCCAGGCTCCAAGTTCAGCGGGCAACCCTGTCTCAAAAGAAGGAAGTGACCGAGCGGTGGTGGAGCCCACCTTTAATCCCAGCACTCGAGAGGCAGAGGTAGGCAGATCTCTGTGAGTTCGAGGCCAGCCTGGTCTACAGAGTGAGTTCCAGGACAGCCAGGACTGTTACACAGAGCAACTGTCTTGAAAAACTAAAAAAAAAAAAAGAAGTGGAGTACCTCAGAAATACCTTTTGTCAAACTTTGACCTCCATGGGTACACATATGGAACTTCTGCACATACGCACATACACACACACACACACACACACACACACACACTACAGTCTGTGGTCTTCCAACCAACTTCTGGCATTTAAAATAATGTACTCTAGAATCCTTCGTGCTATTCCTTATCAGTGCTTGATTCCTTTTCACAGCTGAACATAATTCCCTAACATAACTAGATCACACTGTTTATCAAGTTGGGCAATAGTTAATTAAACACGTGTCTAGTGGCCCAAACTCTACCTCACCTGTGTGTGTGTGTGTGTATATATATATATATATATATAGATATATATAGATATATAGATATATATATATATACACATATGTACCCATGCATAAACCCAGCAATGCATACAGTAACAAGGTCCCGGTCTCCAGGGTCTCCCAGCTGGCCTGTGTAAGTAGAGGGGACCAACCGAGGCAGACAAAGGATGCAAGAAATATTATACTGAATATGGGGGAAATGGAGGGAAACTATAAGCAGAAAACTTGAACTGAGGGCAAAAGAAGCCAGCCTGGGGACCAGGGCATGGAAGCAGGACAGAAGGAGAGGAGCCTACAGAAGGGCAAGTCTTTGAACAGAAGTGGTCATCGGGTCTCTCCTTCAGCATGTGGGATGGAGATCCAGCACAGGTTGTCGGGTCGGCAGCCGGTGCCCTTACTTGCCGAGCCACCCTTGAAGTCTTTGTGAAGCCAGCCTTGATGAATGGCTGCAGTTCAGTACATACATACAACGGAGTTTTATTCAGTTGTAAAGAATGACTCACAAAGGAAAATATGGTTTCTATCAGATGTAAAAATCTTAATAGTGTGATGTGTGTGTGTGTGTGTGTGTGTGTGTGTGTGTGTGTGTGTGTTTCTGAGGGAGGCGGAAGAGGTCTAAAGGGAGAAGGGGAAAGGAAATAACAGGGCAACAATACTGCATGTTTTCTCCTATGTGGAACCTAGATTTGATGACATATAATGTATGCACATATGTGATAAATAACTATGTGGGGAACAATGAGGAAATTCAAATGAGATGAGTGGGAGGGGAGGGGACAGTGAGGGATGCTTAACACAAGGTGCAATGATGTAATTTTATACGGATGAAAATGTTATCATGAGACCTTATTTTGTATTTTTTAACCCTTTCTTGTACTGCCCTAATGTCATCTGTGTCCTTTCGCTATACATCCCCTATGGATACTAGAAGCCATCCTAGACAGGGTTCTGACAGGAAATAGGGTGCAGAAGCCACCGTTGGATATTTTCTAATCTCAAATCAACAGCAAAATGGATTGCAGAATCCACCACTTGAATATTTAGAAACACCAACTCAACAAAATTGAAGGGAAATAAGACTACTACAAAACACAAAAGACACTAGGTGCATCACTGAGTAGAGGAGACAAGAGGGCTACTAGGCATTAGGCAAGATTAAGACATCAGCAACCGTATAACAGACAGCAGGCTGGCTGTCAGGTCTGTGCTGGTGCGAGCATTCTAATTTTGAGTCCTTGATAAAACCCGATAACAGCACAGCAGAGGCAGTTTCTGTTCTGTGGAGTACGGGGGGAGAGACTGGAAATTCGTGATCAGTCTAAGCTTACAAACTGCATCGTGATCTCGGGCCGGCGGACGGCGCAATTAGCGTTCTGGTGTCTTTCTAAAAGCAAAACGCTGGGGTTAAAAGACTCCGAAGCCAAGGCCGTGCTACTTTGTCTCCACCCAGCACAGACCCCGGTGAGCAAGTCACAGGATCTGTGCAACCTGGGGAGTTAAGAACCAACACTGCGTGCGTGCTGGCGACCAGGCGCTCTCCTCCCCGAACGCTCCCGGCAACCCTGTCAATCAATTATTACTGCAATTCTCTCTCTTTTTTTTTTTTTTGGCAGACAAGAAAATAAAGCCGCAGGCTCAGTCACTCCAAAGCAGCGGCTCGTCCACGACAGGGCTGGGACTCCAGCGGCCCCAGGGCTTAAGATCGGGCTGAGGAGTGAGTCGCGTGCACGGGAGCCCGAGGAGCCCCCAGCAAGCGCCGTGGACGCCGCCACCCACCCAGCCAGGAGAGCACCGGGCAGGGGCGTGGAGGACGGCGCGGGCGGAGAGCGCGGCACCCACGCGCTCCCGCGCCCCACGCGCGCCCGCGACCACAGCCCGCCAAGGAACCCGCCGCCATGCCGGCCAACTCTCACCTCCTCGCTCCATCGCGAAACTTCCGGGGAGGCCGGAAGTGGAATCTACCATCTTCCCAGAGCCGGGGTGGGAATCAAGGAGAAAACGTCCTAAGGAAATGAGTTCCCCGCTGCGACTCTGTATCCGAAAACTCTCCGAAACCAACACCTTGAATAAATAACCGAATTGGATCTAGTATTAGCACTAGTATTTGGGCTCTAGAAGTTGCCTTCCGAGTTTTGGAATAACCCCCCCCAGCTTCCTGGGTAATAGAAGTTTCCAAGAGCGGATTCCAGAAGGTACTCTCGGGCGTTAAAAAAAAGTCACAGGGGGAAAAAAGTCTCGCGCGGCCAGTACTGCGCAGGCGCGCGAGGTTTTGGGTCCTCTCGCGAGAGGGAGGCGCCTTCTCTATTCCGGAGTGGTCCCTGCCGGTTGTTGGGAAGCGCCTGTGCTCCGTCGCCCACCATGGCGTCCGTGGGGACCCTCGCCTTCGATGAGTATGGGCGCCCCTTCCTCATCATCAAGGATCAGGACCGCAAGTCCCGCCTCATGGGGCTTGAGGCCCTCAAGGTAACGGCCCGGAACGCGAGGCCGCGGGATGATGAAGGGAGGCGGCCGCTCCGAGCGCCCCTGTGCGCCTGCGCTGGCCGGGGAGCACTTCGGCCATGTGCTGGCCGGAGAGTCCCCGGCTCCGTGGGGGCCGCTCCGGGCTTCCGGTGCACAGCCACCCTCAGGGCGCGGGGAGGAGGCCTTACCCGAAGGCGGGGTGGGGCCGCATCATCCCCCAGCTCACCTGGGGAGCCGGCCTGCGGCCCCCGGGACGGGAGGAAGGTGTGGCCCCTCGCCGCGCGGCTGCAAACGGCACGTCCTTCGGGACAGGTGCCGCCCGTCCGCAGTGGTAGGAAAAATGGGAAAAGCGTCAGAAAGGGGGGCAAGCGACGGGCCGTGTGCTCTCCGCGTGCAGGAAGGATGTCTGCCCACTGGGGATGGAAGGAACTCCCCGGTGCGCACGCACGTGTTTGGAAGGGCCAGGGCATTGTTTGTGTTCGGAGGAGACGGTAAATGCTCTTGGGCCAGAAAACACCTATTTTGGGAACGGAAGGAGACAGTTTCAGTGGAGCATGGTTGGCTGCAAATTAGGGTGTTTCCCCAAAGTTGGCGCTCTTGAACCCCCGTCACAGGGACACAAAGCAGTTGTCCTGAGGGAAGGCAGAGCCGAATTGTCGGGTAGGAAGGAATGAAGAAGGCCAAGACCCAGAGCTTGGGACCCAGATGAGAAAGGAATGTCACTGACCAGCGTTGCCACAGAAAACGCAGAGGAAGGAGGGAGCCCCCGTCTTAGGTTTGACGAGTACCAGTCATGCCTCCAGGTTTGAGGTGTCCTTGTTCACCCAGTGTTAGGGTTTTATTTAAACAGATTAAGAAATAATGCACCTCCTCACTGACTCCAGTTACACAGCCTCTGTGGATCTGGTTTCTCAGTGGAGATTTTCTGTCGTGCCAAGGACTTGACAGTGTATTGAAGTGGCTGATGAAGTGGACAGAGCATTCAATTCCAACCCCCACACCCCACACACCGCAGGGGACTTGCAGATGAAGTAACATTCCAACAGGCAGAAATTTTGCCAATGTCATTAATGTTAACAGTGTGTCAGCCGTTTGCTAACTGCATGGACTGTTGTAGGTGGTCCTCACTCGGGATAGGTCTGTTTACAGAATTAGGCACTTAGGGACACTGTCATAGGGAAATTGCCAAAAAATTCACAGCTACTATGATAGAGAAGGTATGACTTCAGTCTACCTGAGTCAAAGCCAGTGGTGCAGAGCAGTGAGCTTAGCCTTGGCATTCAGGGCCAGATTATTTGTAGTAGAAGCTTGTTCTGTGTGTGGTGTTGAACTCTTGGTCTCTGCTCAATATATACCCGTTTGGCCAACCAGAAATATCCTTGAGCACCCAGAGAGACATTTCCCTGTGGTGGATATTCAAAAGGCCCATTATGAATACATACTGTCAGAGTGCATTTCAAGAGTCACCAGAGTTTGCAAAGACAAAAATGAACTTGGTGTTTTGTAGTCAGCCATTGAGGGTGACAGGAGACGTTCATGAACTTGTGTACTTGCACAGCTCTGAAAATAGCCAAGATTTCTGTGGTTAGAGAAATTTGTATCCACCTGCACCTTGGGGATAAGATGAGTTAGAGAAACTCTGAGGAGTGCTCTGGAGTGCTTTGCCTTTGAACTTCAGTATGAAGGCACAAGAGTCCTTTTAAACCTTTGGAATTGTTTCTGAAGGACTCTTTAGAAAATGAGTTAATTAGCAAATAGGAAGTGGAGGGGATATGGCTTTGGAATTCTGTAGGGTGATGTTGACCTGAGTTGGTGGTGGCAAGAATAAAAGATCATGACATTGAAGGGAATGAGAGCCAGGCACGTCTGGGAACAGGGAAGGGTCCTTTCAGACTTGTACAGCTAATATTTTAGTGACATTGATGTGAATTCTGGTGTGGGCAGATTGCTGTCGTTAACACCTGAGGTAGAAGAATTTCAGTGAAGACTAACGAACCAGACCAGATATTGCAGTGAAGCTGCGGAGTGTGTTCCTGGAGTGTAGGGATCAAGATCTCAGCCTATGAGGATAGTGGTATGGGTGCTGTAAGATTGGGTGTCCTGGGTCAGCCCCTTTGAATATTGAGGTTCATCTGTTTAGGGGCATGTAGTTGGCCCTTGGTCTTGTAGAACTTCTGACGTTCTGAGCGAGCCAAGGTGACAGAAAGTACCATATGCTTGCTGTGGGTGAAGGTCACATGACCATAATGCATATGTGGGTATGGGTCACATACACTTTTCTCCTGTGAAGTTCTACATGACCCAGGGTATAGGTGTATATAAAATAGGTATACAGATCAAACATGGACTGAAAATAAATCAGAAAAGACATTACTTTTAAACAATGTTATGCGTGTAACTTTGCTGTTGATTAAAGACAAAGGGCAGATTTGTGTAATAATGAGATGTCTGTGTGTTGGTTTTGGGTTTTTTTAGATTTATTTATTTTATGTGTATGTGGAGTACCTTCATGTATGTATGGTGCGCTCTAGTGCCTCTGGAGGTCAGAAGAGGAACTGGAGTCCAGGCGGTTGGGAGCTGCTGTGTGGGTGCTGGGAACTGAACCTGGGTCTCCTGCAGGAGCTGTTGACCACTGAGCCCTGTCCTGTGCATGCTGGGCAGTACTGTCAGTGAGCTACACTCCAGCCGCACTCTAGTGTCTCTCACACCAAGTGTGGTCTGTCATTGTTCGAGGACTTCAGGTGGAAGATATTTTAATTTTAGAACAGTCTCCAGGTCCCGTGCCCCATTCAGAACTTGACTTTTGAAAATAGTGTTTGCTAAGAATGTTAGCAAGGGTGGCTCTCCTGTGTGGGTGGGGTTAATGCCGTATATCTCTACAGTGAGCTTTAGTGAAAACGGAAGGTGTTCTGTGTTTACAGTTGGACATTGTGTTCTCAGAGTTCAGTAATGGAGACAGCCTGCCTCCTTCCCACGCTGAAAATGCGAGACACAAAGCTCTTGACACTAAAGCTTATAGCTGTGTGACTGCTCAAGTCAGACCTCGCTGTTGGTGTGGACATTTCTAGATTTTAGAAATTACATCCCAAGGCCTCCCTCCTCATTTACATCAACTTGAAGTGACATGTAACTGTGAATTTGCTTTTTCTGTTTCATTTAGTCTCACATCATGGCTGCAAAAGCTGTAGCAAACACAATGAGGACGTCACTGGGACCAAACGGTGAGAGAACCATGGATATTTTTAATAATAACGGTTTGAAGTCATTGTACAGTCAGTAACACCTTCAGAAATGCAGTGGAGCAGTCTTCCAGCTTAGTTCAGCTCCGTTCAGCCAAGCCGCTCTGAGTGTCCGGGCTTATACTTACAGTGTGCTCACAACTTTAGATAGGCCTTTCTTCACTTCCTTAGCATGTTCCAGAGCACACTTGTGTCTTGAGTTAGTACTGTATGTAACAGTGTTCTGTATATGGTGGTTAATCTGCATTTCTTTGATTTGAGACACTTAGACTGTTTCCAGTGTAGAGTTTCAATTAGCTGATGGAAAGATGTCTTTGGTGGGTGTTTTATATGTGTTGAATTATTTGTTTCCAATGAATTTTATGGTAAGAATTGTTTGATATGCTCTCTCTAACCCCTGTAGTAGTTGACAATACTGGTTACACATTATTTTGTCCAACTTCCTTCTGAACGTTTGTCTTTTAGGGCTGGATAAGATGATGGTAGATAAGGATGGCGATGTAACTGTAACAAATGATGGTGCCACCATTTTAAGCATGATGGATGTTGATCATCAGATTGCCAAGCTAATGGTCGAACTGTCCAAATCCCAGGATGATGAAATTGGAGATGGAACCACGGGAGTGGTTGGTAAGAAAAGAAACAGCCTTTCTTTTTTAAGATTTATTTATTTATTATGTATACAGTGTTCTGTCTGCATGTACACCTGCATGCCAGAAGAGAGCACCAGCTCTCATTACAGGTGGTTGTGGGTCACCATGTGGTTGCTGTGAATTGAACTCAGGACCTCTGGAAGAGCAGCTGGCGCTCTTAACCTCTGAGCCATCTCTCCAGCCCCAGAAACAGCCTTTCTAACTTCAGAGGTTGTTTAGAAGCAGCACACGAGCTAATGTTTCTGTGTCAGGTCCTGAGGACAGTGGGACAGACTAGAGTAGGGGAACACATAGCACAAGTGGGACAGACTTGGAGAAGTAAGTGTTGGGAAAGAACAGGAAGGAGGCAGGGAGAGTTAGCAGTGAGATAGGACAGCTGATGGGTGCTTTTGATCCATTTGGGTTTTAAGCTAAAGGTTGTTAAGATAAATGTGGAGGAGGTAATTGGATTGTGGGTTGCATTATATCATATCAGTGTTCTTGTCCTTGAGCTGACGGCTCTATCTATCATGGTTAGACAGAGAATGCCCAGGTTGTCATACCAAAACATAGAAGGGGAATGGCATGCCTTGATTCCTGCTCCTAATTCTCAAAGAGTTAACTGGAAAAGGTGTATGCATCTGAAAAGAAAACAGGGAGTATCCTGTTTGTTTTACTGTTTTTAGCATTTTTCCCCTGAGATTGGGAATCTTCAAAATGATCCAAAGTTTGAGGGCCAGCAAGATGGCTCGTCTAGCCAGCCTAAGTTTGATCCTTAGGATCTGCATGGTAACAGGAGAGAGCTGACTCC